TTAAATTTAGTTTATTTACTCAAATAGTTTAAAAATTGCTTCTTACAAGACGTACAATGTCTATAGAGATTGAATCGGGGCTTAGTTTAGGCATTTACTGCACAGCTAGTAAAGGTCGAACACAAATAGGTAGGAACGTCAGGCATAATTTATCTGTCTACAACTTCCCGACCTTTCAAAAGAATTGCTGAGACGTTACTAAACGCAAACTTCTTAATTTTAAAGTCCCTTTGCCTGTCCTACTCGATATTAATGTACGTCTTCAACTTAAGTTCTCAGCACACGATTCTTAAGCATATATATATATATATATATATATATATATATATATATATTGGAGATTACATAATCAGTCACATCTGTTTTCATATATCTAAGAATAAATTATGAGACTTTTGCGGAGTAAATTTGTTTATTACATATAGTAGTAAATTAAAAAGAATGCACAATTATCAAAGCTTTTGACGGAACAATCTAAGATTATAAAAAATTCAACAATATTCAACAATATATTTCTCAATAAAAACTAATGTCGTAATGAGTACAATATATGTCAACTATGTAATGTTTTATATAATATTTTTCGAATCGATATAAAATTCATTTTTTTATAAATACTACAACTACATACATGTAATAATAATTTATAATTAAAAAAATACATCATAATAATAGCATAAAAAGAAGTAAAAATGATTTTGATGTTAATTTCCCTTATTATGTCGTACCAATATTTTTGAACTTTTAAATCGTGCCGGTAAGATTGTTGAAGACTGACAATGTTCTCTCAATAATGGAGGCAGTAAAGGTATTGTGGTCAGGTCGTAGCCAGGGTGGCAGGTGCTGTCCGTAATGGCCGCCCATCGACACGGACGAGAAGAACGGTGGGCAAGTTTGCCGGTGCAAAAAGTGCTATATAAGAGTTATGCGAACGCGGAAGATTATTGGCAGTATCAACGGACCCGATTACATCGTTGCGTATTAATTGAATATCGATGCGTCAAGGTCTGCTCCGCAAATGACGTTGGTGCATGAGACGAAATAAGAATGGGAAACATGCCTTGGAGGATATTGCTTCGAAAATAATTTTTCGCGCTGTTGTTATTTTTTGCGACGACTCGATTATACCTCGATTATAACCAGCACCTTATACGTCGAATGACACTGTCCATAATTCTTCGCTGTTTCGTATTAAAAAGTTTGTGCGTTCTTTCTTTTACATAAAAAATATTTAAAAATCTTTTCTAATATTTATAAAACGGTTCAAGTGTATTTTGTTGAAAAACGACAAAGTTTTGTCCTTAAAAATGATACAAATTGTTAAAAAACTTCGTTTAAATCGATATATCGACATGAAAAACTTCAAAAATATTGGCCAAGAAAACCATAATAAAATTCATCGTGACGTTATGTTATTTATAGAATAGCTAGTGAATGGAGCCACGTGGATAAGTGATATACTTTTTAGTGATATCTTTATCTGTACAGACAGTCGAAAATCATGAAAAACGTGCGCGAAAGAACGTTTTTCGATTCAATTATTTTACCATGTACCCCATTTTACCGTCTTCCCCTGCGGCCACAACTAGACATGGCCTTTGTGTCTGGCGGTATAGTCGCTCCGATCGCCGAGCAACTAAACACATTCTTCATACCTACGAAGAGCACGGCCGGTCCAACTATGTATTATCTTAGCCTCGGGCACAATATATGTATTATGTAGACAACTTTAGCCTATATATACGTATTTATAATATCTCGTCAATGCCAGATTCCTGACTAATTCGTTGAATATAACTGAAATATATCTAAAATTGTATTTCGATGACAAATATTTTTAATTGCATTTAAATCTTAAGGAAAGAATTTTGAGAAAGTTATGAGAAATACATAAGTGACTTAAAAGACTTTTCAAAGAATTCTCAAATGTCAAATTTTTGAATAAATGAAATTTAGTAGATGTAACGTAAAATTGTATAATTGAAATGCTATGGCAGTTTACGTCAGAAAACGTGCATATTTTCTAAATAATGTCAGAGAAATCTGCTTAATTAATTGATCGACACTGACGAGAACAGTATAAACAGGATGTTTCAAAGTTAAGCGATCAAACTTCGCCAATATGTTCTATGAATAGAAATAAGATAAGCGTGTGTGTGCGTTAGATAAGCATGTAGAGCCGGAATCAGCTTATTAAAATATTATAACGAAGATATTAAATTAAACAGCGGATTTTATTAGGGAATAGTTGATATTTTCTCACGGATATTTTCTGCATATTCTTTATTCGAGAACATCGTATTATGTTAATATAAAATTGTATTATTATATGTATAAGTTCGTTCATTCGAAATTGATCGTTAATAATCTCAAATAATATAAACACATGGCTAGAATGAATAGATAAACGATCTACTCATAATATTGACAGCGAATCCGCTCCTCACGTTTCATCTTTGTCATCATATTTTAATAAACCGGACCAATAATTTACATATAAAATGTTTTCTGCCTTTCGCTCATATGGCGAAGTTTGATCGTTTGAAACACTCTGTATACATCGCGGAATTCGCGACCGCTAACAATAACTTGTACGGTATGAAATTTGCAAAACGGCGGGATATAGCGCACGACTGTTGTTGGCTGTATATAAAGTCAGGCTAGCTCACGAATCGTACATGCGAACAGGTCGTTCATCAAATTGAGAAACCTGGCGGAGGCAACCGCTAGCGACGCGACGTACCTACCGATCAGTACCTCAACGCCTCGGCGCGCGTTACGCTTATGCTCACGCATATTCACCTGCCTCTTTTTTTCCTCGCTACGCGATTCCTAGACACGAGAAATGCATGCATAACTTATGAAGGTTACGGCTAATGAGATGTATCTCGGCGTCTATATAACAATGCAATGAGCTGGATAAAAAAAGTGAGGTAAAATTAAACCGTTTATCGAAGCAAACAAAAATAGAAAGCGATTATTCTTCTCTTCAACGAGGAATCATCGGTTCTTTTTTTAGCTCGAAATTTGCCCGATATCTGCTCGAATAATCGGATCTTTCGTCAAAATGGGAATCGATCAAACAGTCCCGTTTCGACTGTACGCACTGCCTATCCAGAGTTAAAGCTGGCATATTTCTACGTCGAATTATTCGAGCTATATTTGATCGCATAAATACTTCATAATTATTTTATTACCCGTGAAAGAAACAAGGGCTGAATAATAATGAGCGAAATATAAATAATAACAACAACAATAATAATAACAAGCTTACTGAAAGTCCTTCGAGAAGCACACCATGCGGGTTAAAATTACTAGTTGCGAGAGGAAGAAGCGGGACGTGGGACAAGACGCGAGCGATACGATCGATCAAAGATTATAGCTTAAGTCGACCGCTATGTATAGCGTGAATAGCGTGATTGGTCGCGAGGCGATGCTTAAATTAAAATGCGAAAGGTACGCGGGAGATGTACATATCGTGTACTCGTATATATTGTATATTGTATGCGTCTTGGTTTCGATGGCGTCGAGGTTGTACTTTAAAATTAGTCTACCTCGCTCTGAGTTAATTTCCCGATCGGTCGACTCGCGATATTAAAATGATCATGAAAATTATTACGTTCTCGCTAATCGCTCATGATGCTGTTTTTGCTTTATATTTTTACGCGTTGCGTCGCGCATAATTGTTTAATGTTAGCGGTTTAATGGAAAAAAAGAGGAAAAATCGAACAAAAAAGATTGAAGAATTACGCCTGGGAATACGCGATTAAATATAATCAATTCAATAATCGCGGCGATAATTGCAGTTCAATAGAATAAATACGTTTATCCGTAAACAATGATGCGAGTATTTTTAATAAAATTATTTAATGATTGCAAATAAAAAGGCACACATCTATACACATTTTATTTATTATTAAGGCCAAATAATTTATATAAGTATTTTATTCTTATTTTGTTAATTAATTAATTCCCAAGTTTTCAATGATAATAATTGCAGGTAAATGTAAGATTTTCAGTAGAAGAAAAAAAATGGACAGATAAAATAGTTGAAGAATTAAAAGATAATAATTATAAAAAAATAATATGTATTATCTAACGTATCGTTTGTTTCCGTTATTAATATTCCGACACATTTGTATCCTCCAGACACTCATTATTAAATGCGAGATGTACGACGATGATACGTTACAAAAGTTTTGCAATGAAAACGCCTCGAGGCTCACTTGCATTTCATTTCTACCTGCTTTCCCCTGCCATCGAGGAATGCACATTGCAACTAAAGAGCGCGCATTTTTAAGAAGGCCCCAATGTTTTTCGGTTGAACAGTACGAAGGAGAGTGGCGGGCGTGGAGAAGGGAAAAAAGGGCGTAGTAAGTCATACGGAGAGGCTCGTACGTCATACTTCATCCGGGCCAACGGAGCAACACATGGATAGGGCTCTCCCCGTATACGAGGAACGCATTCACCCGGGCTGCCTCTTTAGGTCGCGACGTTCGATAGTGTGAGTGCCTGCACGTTACGTGTGTGTCCCTGAATATTTCGTGCACCTCTATACACACGAGAAGAGGAGAGACCCCGAGCCACTTGATCACCGGTGTGCAACATGCACGCCTATACTCGACGCGTATCCGTCACATAATCCTTTAATAGAGTACGCAAAAATTGATTTTAAAATACGTGTTGTGGTACGCAAAGGCGACTGTATGAATGAACGCCCTTTTTGCACGTCGTATCCTCTCCGTCGTATATTTAATGCGATTCTCTTTTGCATTTTTAATCGCATGAGAGAATAAAAACAAATTATTTCAATAAAAAAATATTTCGATGATAGTAAACTTCATATCCATCATATATGTGCAGGAGTAAATTATTTGTTTGTTTAATTATTTAAATATTTTTATCTTGTTCAAAATATAATAATGATATATCGATGAATCGCGTGAAGAAAAGCTTTGAATTGATAAGGCAATAATTCGGTATCTTTCTGTTCGCGAAAGGGGAATCCTTGCAACGGACGCACACGAAGATCTTGGAGCTGATCTTCGTCGATACGGGAGTAGAGCGCTGCATTACCGGCAAGCCTCGTAAACGGCCATAGCAGCAAGCGTGGAGGTTCACGAGAAGGAGGGATAAACGAGTCGAGCCACGATTTCGTTGTCGTAAACGTCAAAGTTACGGTTACAGCGTTGTTCCTAGCTGCTTTATATTGAACGAGGTTGCTCCCCGAGGTACGTAACACCTACTCGCAAACGTCGTATTGTAGAAAGTAGCGCTACTACTCCTTTCCAACTCCGGAGCGACGCAACGCGAGCACCACGTGGCTTTTACGCGGGAATCCGGTGAAGGAATTCAAGGTTCGTTGAGTACCTCTTTGGCCGTATCGCGCGCGCAATTGGATAAAGCACTCGGGTAATATCAATTTTCTTTCCGATTCGCACTATTTCGGATTTATTATGCTAATGTGAATTGATTAGCATTATTCTTTAACATTTCTTTTTTTCTCCTCCAAGATCATCGTCTTACTCCAGATCAAATTATGATTTTTTTTAGATTTGTTTCTTTAAGCGCACCGGAAATGGAAAATGTAAAGTGCTTCGGAAACGGAAGCTACCGAGCTATCATTAGTACCATGTCCATCGGACATATTTATCTTGATTAATACGCCTGTATCGGGTTATCGCGCGACCCTTAATGTGACTTTAAAAAGGACCATTTTTCAGATGTGCACCGTAAAAGAGGTTCTCTCTCAATGGGCTTGAATGAAGAGATGCCTAAATAGCACCCCAGCCTCTCTATCGTCGCGCCCTCTAATTACCCTGTAGACGCAGTCAACCCCTCAATGAGCAGTGATAAATATTGTTCGCGTTTGGGTATATCCTGAGGAAGTGATCCGGCTCTATAAAGGAAGATATATATGTCTCATTGCTATTGGTAAGTTTTGTAAAGATTTACTTGTGGAAAAAATATACATTGTAATATAAGTAATATTTATAATTCTTTTATAAATTTTTCATCTCTTGCATTAGCGTACGCAAATTTTCTCGTTACATCATGTATTTAATATTAAATAATATATCTTTCTTAGATGATGAGGAAATACGCACACATTTTTTCCATACATGTATAAACATTATAATGGCAAATATAAAAAATAATAAAACGAAATATTTATTTATAGCTGATTTAAAAATCTTCTAATAGTTTATTAATAATTATGTATGCATTAAAAACTATTTATGTTGATGTAATAAGAGATGTTGTTACTATAATAAAATGAATTTACATATATTTTACGAACAAATATAATTAATTTAAATTAATAGATGGAAGTAATAATGGATGCGCTTAAAGTAACAAAAAATGGAAATAAATAGAAGAGATCATTTTAAAAAACTAATTCTTCTTATTATGGCAAGAAACGGCAACTTTTATATAATTTATGAAAATATTTATAAATACGTGATATATCTTTATGAAAAACAACTTGTTGCAAGTATAATAGATGTGTTCTTTAATATCAGATACCAGTAAGATAGAGACACACGGGCGCCATGCTTATACATCGCTTTCACATTTATATAAATTAAACATTGCTCGCACAATCGTTTACAATACAACAATACTTACAAGATATACACAGATACAATTAAGAGTGCAATAAATTAAACGACAGATGCAATATTTCATCCTGGCATGTATTCTAGGTATATAATTACCATTGCCAAGAAGAGAAAGAGAGAAATATTTGAAGAAGGAACATAGAGACAATGAACACAAATGCTTATACATCAATTTTTAACGTTTCGCAATCGCTGTAAGCGATAAGATTTATCATCTATTATTATTGTGTCATATAATACAATTTATATTAATGTGTAATTCTAATGCACTTATATTCCATATCGTGTATTTCAAAAAGAAATATTTAAAAAATATTAATTAGAGACAATAATAAATTTACATATATGTATAATGGAAGTATCAATATTAAAAATCTTCCATATTCTTATATGTGTACATCTTCTAATTTAATATGATTACTTGAAATGTACGATATCATGGAGATTGCAATAAATTAATTTTGCTATCGATGTTATAAAGAGCATTCATCGTATTGTATGGTAAATGATTGACGATATAAACATTGACGATTCCATTACCCTTCTATTTACGATGAAATAATCTATAATTGCTGTATCGATAAATTTTCCTACTTGTTAGATATTATACCGACAACACTGAAAAGAACTTGTTAGAAAGTGCGAAATGAGTCAACGACTTTCAATTCGCGAGTGCATAGAACCTGTTATACGAGTATGCGGCCGATCAATTGCTTTTTCTCATTCTCGCGATTCTTTCTACAAACATTGCATTCCATGCATCATCGAGGCAATTTGCAACCCATAATCAATGATCCAAAACATCTAATTGATTCAAAGATGAATGTAATCGGGAGTTTCCTATTAAATTAAAATAGATGATAGAAAAACAAGATACGCACATAAAGTACTATTTCAAGCTCCTTCAGCGACTCAATTCGCACACTATTAATTTACAAAATAAGAGATGATGAAGATATAAAGTTGGCGATATAAAATATGTGTGTATGCGTATGCAATTAATTAAATTAAAAATTATACATTTATAAAAAATAACTCACATCATGTATGTATCATGTGTATAAAATTATAAAATTCATTGAATAATATCTGATGCCTCTTAAAATAATTTCTTTCTTTACATGCATAAGATCTCTTGTATAATCGGAGACGAAGAGGAAAAAAAAATGCCTGACCCTTAAACCGGACCGAAGAACGCGGGAAGGAGATTCCCGCCGACAAAAATGAAGCGACTTGGAGCAAAAAAAAAAGGAAAGAGATAGTAAAAAGAACTGCTAGCTAGGAATCTCTAGGATCTCAGCTGAGCTACGGTAAAGAAAGCATTCTGACCGAAAGTGCGATAGAACCCACGAGGCCTTGATGATTATATATCTACCAGCGGCAAAGCAGAAGGTTATTCGGGATTGTATCTCTCTCTTTCTCGCAATGAAAGGGACAAAGACATCGCTAGAAACAGCTGACTACCGGAATTCGGGGTTCCGGTGGGGTGAGTACAGTGGGGAAGGCACTTGAACCCCCAATTGGACTTCCCCATTATACCCAGCGTACCCAACGATTTTACACGCACTTGACTCCATTCTACCTATCTACCAGACATAATTTTGCCAAGGTACACGGCCGATTTTCCACGACACAGCTCGCGTGCGTTGACATTGCATACGCGATGAAAATGAAAAACTCATAAAACTTATGTCGCGTACAAAGAAGTAGGATAAGACGAGCAATTTAAAAGCAATTGTATACATATATATCTGAAACGTGGCGATAACGATAGTATAATTGCGAACGGAAATTTCTCGTGCAAAAATAAATCGAAAATGTAGAATGAAATTTTTCTACTGTACGATTTCGCGTTTCCTAGAAAATATCAAATCGATAAAAATGTATATTTTCAATCGCTATATTTAACCATCCCGATATCTTCACAAAGATTGTACAAGTATAAAAGTCAAGTAGAGATATCGAACCGATTTTCTTGGAAATGAAACTTTCTGCGAAAAAATTTCATTCTACATCTCCGACTTATTTTCGCGACTATACTTTCAAGAAATTATTACATGATTACATCATCTTGTCTTATATATAAAAATACATATTTATTATGTTATCATTATCATTATGCGATAATAATATTATTATGATAATAACTTACACATTTAATTTTTATATTTAGAAAAATGATTCGTTTGAAAGTGAACGTCATCAATTTCGAATAAGATAAGATATAATAATTTCCAATTGCATATGTCAAATATACAAATAATAATGTTTATGTATAACATTCAGCGCTTTTATTTGTTGTCAATCTTTTCCATTCGACCAAAAGACAATGGCAATGGAATGCTTTTAGTTTGTCAACGATTGTAAATCTATGATCTCACGGGTTTCACGAGTGGACATGTGTCGTATTTCAAAATGACGTACAAATAGACTTGGCGAAAAATTTCATTCGCGCTTGAATGTAGTGGAGCCATGATAAGCTATATTCGTCGAGCAGGACACATCTACGCCTTCCGCTTTTACATATATTTTTTTTATACACGAAAGGACGATGAAATAACTCATCTTGTTGACGCGATAGAAAATTTTTCATCCGTTCGAATTTTTCATCCGTTCGCGACGCATACCAAACATTCTATTCTATAATATCGTTTCTACACAACTCGTAGGTAATTCGATCGCGTGGAAGCAATTTTAACAATTTAGTCCGGTATAACCAGACGGGCAAGCCTTCACCACCACGCCTTCCCGACCACGTGGCTCCCCACATTTCCCCTAACCATAGCGGCTCCTATATTTCATCGCGGCTGTTACGATAATAGTCGTATAAGAGAGCATTTATGAATAGCAAACTCACCTGCTATAGCCATCCAGGGATAGAAGGTATGGTTGGCGGTAGGTTGCTGATGTAGTTGCGTGGCGACCGGTTGACTCGCGGACGAGTTTAAACTGCAGGTGTTCCAGGAGGACGTGAGGGATCTTGAGGAACTGTTGTTACCGGGACTCGAGGCCGGATCGCCGCCTACGAGGCCACCGTAGCTCCCGACCCTCGTACTCTCCGGGGTACACGCGGATGGACGTACGACCGAGTTGCTCTGGCTGTTCGCTCCCGAGGTCGCCGACTGCCAAACGTCCTTGACCGCTGCAGCTGCCATGACCGCGGCATAACCATTTTGATGCGTTGACGTTTGATCTTGCTGTTTACAGTCTTTCGTCGCCGTTGTCGAGTACGAGGACGTGGTGTGGCCGGTCGCCTCGGGTGTCGTCGAATAAAGCTTGCAGGCCGTCGCAACGCTCGCGTCGTACGGCGAATCTTGAGGTGGTCTCGTGTTGCTTCCTCCGCCCGGGTGTATCCCCAGCGAGGAGGACGCGTGATGATGATGCTGCGCCGAGGCGTAGTGCGACATACCTAATCCGAGCGGAAAGCTTCGATACGCCGCGGTAGCCGGGTCATGATGCTGACTCGCCGCTCCCGTTTGATGATGGTGGCTTCCGTAGAAGCCGCCCGCGGTCTGTTCAAAGTACGAGTTCATTATCCCGGGTATTTTGAATCACTTGCACTAAAACACCGGCACTCAAAAAAAGAGACGGCGGAGGAATGAGTCAAGGTTCGAGCGGGCTTGCATGAAACGCGCGCGACCAGTCCGACTCGATAATTTCGCGTCGCACCAACGTCTTGGGGTAATCGGATCACGTAACCCCTCCTAGCTACGAGCTCCTACGGATAAGTTATAAAGAAGAGATACGTTGGATTCGACGCGAGCAGTGACGGATGACGGTGCTGACAGGGGGTAAATAAACGGAGGGATATTTAAACGGTTTAAGCGGCGATAAAAGTCATCGACAGGTATAGCCGGTTATATACCGATGAGAGTGTCAATGTCAGTAGGCCGTAGGAGTGTAATTCAGAATGGGTTTCATGACAGTGGCGGGGATTTTTATGGTCTTGTTATGGTTACCGCTACGCGACGAGCCGAGCATAAAACGGCGGTTTCAACAGTGGAAACGGGCGATGATCGTTAAGCCGTTACGATGTAATAAACTTGGGTAATAAGACGGGCTATAAAATCGCCTGCGGGTTTCTCTACCGCGTGCGCGGACCGGACGACGACGGTTCGGTCAGCCGGCACGCGACAACCACCCTCGCGGGGCGGCTCTCTCTCTCTCTCTCTCTCTCTCCTTCTCTCTCGTTTTCTTTCGAAATGTACGATTCGCGCGATCGGCCGGATCGGGTCGAGGCCTGTCCTGCGTCGAAACCGGCCAATCTGTCACGAGATGTCAGGGGGTGACTTCGCCAGTTCCGCACTGCACTAGCACTCGTCGTATCGTGACTTCGCTGATGACTGTGAGTCCGAGTCTAGAGGACGATGGAGATTGTAACGAATCACGGTATGCCAGTGCGGTGGTCCACGGCACACTACCGCTTTTCTCGCGCCCCGTGTACCGCCACTCTGTACCGTCGTCCGTCTCTCGCTCGCTCGTTCACCTCGCCCCGTCTCTCTTCCTCCCGGCCGGACTTGTCTCGCGTTCTCTCTCTCGAGCTTCCTTCTCCGTCGTCCCTCCACGCGCTCTCTCTCTCTCTATCTTCCTCTCGCTCCGTCTCGCTCGCTCCTGCCCGCTCGCGCGGTTCGCGCTTCTCGCTCGTCCTCTTCCTCCGGAGTACTACGTCCTAACGGAGATCGCGGTGCTCGCGTTTCCTCTTTGTCTCTCGCGCGCCATCCCCCTCCCGACGCGAGCTTCCTCGCTCCGTCTATCGTCGTTGTTGTCCCCCTCTTTCCACCCCCAATGTTTCCCCCCCACAATTGCTTTCTCACCCTCCGATTCTGTCTCGCTCCACCTCTCGACGATATTCATCCTCTCCCTTCCATTCCATCTATCCTCTCCCTCTTTCCCGCGATACGATTCCTCAGCGCCCCCTATCGAGCGTTCCACTAACTCAACGACGTACCGCCAGATTAAATTCGTACTCGCTCGCCGTGCGCGTCACGTTTGAGGCGCGCGAGCAGATAAGACGGCGCGAAGAAAGGAAGAGGAAAGAAATGCTGGCCGCGACGCGAAAGAGAGGGAAGAGACGAGATACGGAACGGAGAGGGATGAGAACGCGCAAAGAGACACGAGCGGATAAGAAGAGAGAGAGAGAGAGAATTGGAGGAGGGTAAGGAGGAAAAGAAAGAACGTTATGCGCAATTGTAACAGCTAAGAGCGAGACGAGCGCCGCCGCCACGGATAGTCGGGCAAAGAGGGAGAACGCGCCGCTAAGGGAGGAGGTTATACTTAAGGACCAATCAGAATTGAATTCGTCACGAATACCGTTCCGCTACGGCACCAAAGTTCCTACGCCGTGCGAAAGTAGTTCCAAGTCGGAAATGACGCCCATGAGCGGCTAGGCGCCGCCCAGCTGATCCCCCACCAACTGACAGCGCGCGGAATACAGCGTGCTCGCGAACGTATCTGCTGTGCGAGTGAGAGAGACGGGACGGGGCCGTGTGCGGCACGCGCGGTCACGCGATACTCGTCGTCTCGCTCTCTCCTTTCCGAGAGCTTGTGGGGATACGTGCACCGCCACCTTTGAGCCCCGTAACGAACTAACCTCGCCAGATCCATTCAGACATTCAAACGACCAACATCAACGAGCTACCTCGCGATTATCGTTATTGCGGTAGCTACGTCGTAAATCCGCAATGATTTAGAATAGCGTTCGATCGATGAGTCGTACATGAAGAGAGAAAGAAAACGCGGAGCGTTGCGAGACACTTGAATCGTACTGTAAATGTAAAATGTAATGGCCCCCCCCGCGATGATGGAATAAATCTGACGTGAGTGTAAACGTTAAAGAGATGTCATCGCGACCGTGTCTTTTATGCGCGTGTTTATGCAATTAAAGACAAGACGGTCGCGCAATTAAAATGTCGTAAAATGAGGCCCCGCAGTCGAGCGGGCGGCGCGCGCCACGCTCCGGAGTATCGGGAGTGTTTATTGGGATGTAAATGTCGCTGGATTATCGTCCCCGCGATTCGCACCTCGTAAATTATTTCGTAACGAGCCGAGTAATGCCCATCATAAGCTGCTCTCCAGGGCTGACCCTAGTTATTTGCTTACACGTTCTTGGATCGCTCTCTCGTCGTTACGAACGCTTAGGATATTAGCCACCTGCTTTGCTGTCGCAAAAGTACGAATAAATAAAAGATACCTTGAACTTGCGCTTTTCAAATGTTTAAATCGAATTGAAATAAAGTGCTTGGTGAAAAAAAATGCTCGAACAATCCGTGAAGTATGATCGATAAGTAATCAGATGTTTACGAAACCGCATGTGAAATCTAATTACTTATCTAGTGTTATTTTTCATCATTAAATAATATATTTAATAAATATAAATAAATAATTATAAAAGGGATAGATATATAAAGAAATATATTTTATAAAAATGTATCCATAACGCAGGAGTTATATTTTTATTATGTAGATACATGTATCTCCTCGTACACAAGTATCACCGATCGCTAAAAGGATCTTGTAAAAAAAAGATTTATTAAGCTCCCCCTTAATTTGATGGCACCGTTGATGAAGAGATCTGATGCAGTTTTCGCTTTTGCGAGAATCCGACAGGTGGCAACCCGTTTACTTGAAAATCATGACGGCAATAAACTTCGGTTTTATGATCACTTGAACAGAATCGTAAAAGTCAGGGCCTTTAAGCTTATAGCGTATAGAGGGGCGCGTGTCGAATATGGTGGGGGCGTGAAAGAGGCCACCATGCGAATGGGGAAGGTATGACAGGCCATATGGGAAGCCAAAAATGGGCCTAAATATTCTTTTCAGAATTGCACTCATATAACAGCCGATTAAAGAAACATAATTTTGATGAGATCAGCTTTGCGTCAAGTGTCGAATAAAGTCAAATATTCATATGTGCTTTGCATTTCAGTGCCATTATCAATAGCACGCATACATACATGTATAATTCTAATTTCAAATAATATATTACACGTGTTAAATACTTGATATTTATTTGCATGCGATATTTCACATGGAAAATGGAAAGTAAGAGGGCACGGATACAAACACGCGCGGGCATCATCGTTAACTATCGATACCAAGTTTATACTTCAGAATGATGGACGTTCGCTCTATATGGACCTCGAATAAAAACAAAGCGAAGAAACGAGGAGGATTTCGAAAGGGGGGATTAGGGGGCGTAGCTACAACATCGAGTCGAGAAGGTGAACACGAGAGCGAAGGGGCCATTGCACTCCCGCGCGCGCGCGAGGAGAGCGAATCTGCGCTCTTGCTAAACCAGCGTTCATTCTTCATCACTCTGGCAATTTCGGCTCTTCTGGTTTCCTCCATATAGTTCAACGCACTTGTTTGAGCTCTCATTCTGATTGAATCCTCGTTCTTTCATCAGTGAATTCGCGCATTTCTATTCATTCGATCTGTCACGTCTCCTTTTTTCTCTTTCTTTCCATTGGAAAATCGTGCATAAGTATTTCATCATAAACCGAAATTTACATCGGAATTTTAAGATTAATATTATTCTCGTCATATTTTTTCACGCAAATTGAAGCTGGAGGTATCAATGAAATGCAAGCATCGATGAAAATAGTGAACTAGACGCTTTCTTTTCAGAATAAAAGATTGCGCTTAGCATTCCAATATTTTTAAATCAAAATGTTAAACGTAGTATCTGAATAAAAATTGATATAATTTAATTTTTAATAATAATGCGTTTAAATTGAAAAGTCACACGATAATTTTAAACGCATCGGCGTTTTTAATATAAATTGCGATAATAGTTTTACCAGTAGGACGATATCGTTTTCCGTGTGTGTATTATTTAAAGTTTATAATTTTAAAAAAATTTTTCATTGATTAACACACTGCATATTGATCGGCAGCGCATCAGGAGCAAGGATACGATCATGTAGTAAGGATTCGGAAGATGCTTCCTTTGCCATCTGGCGGTCTTCCGCAATATCACCTGATTGCACAAAGCTTGCACCAAACTTTCTATAGTCCTGCAGTCGATAGAAATTTTATAAAAAAAGTGTATTACTTTATTATGTAAAAATATATATCGTCCTATTTTGATTTCGTTATAAATTTAAATGTAGATTATTGTTGATGTCATCACTACAGAACGAATGAAACGAATAGTCGCTATCAATTTTCGATGCATTTCTAAATATAGTGATTATATAATCGCGTATTTATATAATTCGTTAATTTTCTTTAATTAAAAGTTAACAGATATAATTTCTAAATTCATTAATAAAATCCTAAATAAGTTTTAAAATCCTAAATAAGTTTCTGCTGCGAGACGAAGAAGAGCAGGTAGAAAATTATCGAGAACAAAACAAATTTATAATAAAAAGAAAGGAACGCGCGTGGGAGGATAGCTTCTATAATTCAGTGAACTAATTAACGGTCAATTTAATTAACATATTCGAGAGATTCTTAATGGTCCAGAGTGATCTACCTTACCGGTTGGGAAACTCATCCTACAGGTAGGGTAGACGTTAGCAGGGACCCTTACATTTTGAGGACCTGGGCATTAGTACATTGCGACAATACATGTTTCGTTCGCAGTTACCGTAGATAACATCGGGTAAAATTTTGTCACGCTCAATCACACGAATTTAATGGAATAATTGAAATCATTTTGATTCGTTTAAAGATTTAATATCCAAGCAATCGATCGAGATAAAAAATAGATGCATATTAAATATTTTATTTTTTTTATTTCACCGAACGTTAAAGATATATATTGTAGGAAATCTTTTAAATGAAATTTGAATGATTTATTATTGGAATCAAAGTGTCTAATGACCTATTATTTATTTTTAGGTGTTTCTTTTCTTTTAAGTAAACATTTAAAAATGTTTTAATTTTAGAAAGGATTATCCACATTTGTATGTAATTTTGTTTAAAAAATTTGATATAAATATACATTGATATATACACACACACAACATACACACATGTGTATAAATAAAGTAAATAATAAAATAAAAAAATTGTCGGGCAGTAATTTACACGGTGGACGATAAATGACTGATTATAAGAAAGTTGCAATAAACAAATGATTACATAAAGATATTATGACAGTTATAATTAAAAGAAATGACCAGTTAAATAAATAATGTTCAAAAATAGACAAATTGCGTCAATACGTCTAAATTGAAACATAAAACGAAATGAATGAGGCCGTAAATACTCAGGGTTAATGGTAGGGTGCGGATAAGTTATTACTAGGAGATCATTAATTATGTCAACATTATAGAGCACTATATTCTTGTAAAAAGCGACATTTGATTATAATATATACATTAAAAAACGTTTAAGTATGATTAGTTATATAACAAAATTAATTCAGATCAACTATGAATTTTACACGTACATTTAACATGAATGTTAATAATAAAATACGTGATACATTCAATAATGCTAAATATACATAATATCGTG